GTCAGCAATCCTGGCTTTAGATGAAATACTCTACTGTAGCTATGCTATTAATAGTAAGTCACCGCACCTCATGACAAAAGATTCATTGAATCCAGACCGGTACCCTATAGAAGAAAAGGCGGGCTGGTCCGAAACAGTCTCGGCAGAAACCTAGTACTAAGACTTAAGAATTATCCTAGTAAGACGCTTGAACCCAGTTACTGCTCAAAAAAGTAGGGCCTGACTACCGGGGCCTTGTCTGTCTCTACTAAGCCCTTTTCCAATCAGTAAGGCATCCTACCCAGTGTCCCCATCACCCATTAAACCTGATAGAAAATTGTTTAAGCGCATTGTCAAAGTAACGATCGGGGAAATTTCTCATTCTCAGCTCAATCTTCAAAGTCAGTAAAAAACAAGCTTCTGCCCCAGGCATACTATTCATGCTTCTACCTCTGTGCAGGAATGTCGTAATCACAACCATTTTCTGCTGCTTAGAAGAATACGATTCGAAATCCTGCAAACTCTGAAAAACAACCCCTTCGTTCAATACGTCGTCCACACTAGTTCGCTACAGGACCAGTTTGTCGTCATAACATCTGCTGAACCTGTCAATCTGTTTCTTGGCATGCCATTTGGACATAGCGGACCTCTTATCGTACTTGACAAAAAACGACACGTCGTCGATCAATCTTACCCCCATGACTGAGCTCTGTCGCGAACCCAAAGACTTGAGAAAGCATGACTCGTTGAAAACGCATAAAAGACAAGCGAGCGCCGGGCTAGCGGGTTTTCCCATTGGAATGCCCACTATCTGTTGCAAAACCAATCCCATGCACATAGTATATGTATTCGCCAAATCAAACACAATAATACTAATTAGCTTAGAAAATTTAAGAGAACACCATCCTTCCGGGACTTTGCTTCCCTTCGTAAGCTTGACTATCTTCCCTCGACGTTTAACCAAAATATGATCGTACCCTTTCTCTTCAAAATAGGACACGAACCATTCTGCCGCATTGATGATCGAAGCATGGGGAAGGTTCGAAAACATTTCATTTACATAGAAACTAGCAGCAACCACTTCCTCATAGGAGCCAATAGAAAGATTGAAGTTAGATAGACGACAAAGTAGATCGCTAGTAGATTTAAGATTGAAATTATTGCAACTGGGAAGAGACCAGATTAGTTGGTTAACAACTTTAGAAATCAACTTACTGAGACGGGACAAAGGATCCGACCAAGATGGGCAGATGGGTCTCCATCTCTGCACATCTTTGTGCTTTGGCATAGCGTAGGCTTTCCCCAACTGACACTTGTAATTCCATGATGCGATCTTATGGAACTTACTACTAAAGTATTCCTCTTTGATGGTTTCGATTGCCGAATTTTCTCCTCGGTTGACCAACGTGAAACCCTCGTTACCCAAAAACAGTGTACTCAACCCTCGACGATAAACTTTCGGACAGCACACAAAAGAATCTCCTGGATTATGATCTATAGCACATACCACCAAACCCTGAAGCTTAATTTTCCGCTCTTCAACCACCAGCAAGTCAGAATCCTAGTGAAACACTTGCTCAGATCTGAGGCAGGGATATCAAAACAAGTAGTGTCGTGTTGAACAGTATGCAAAGATTGACTGATGGATTGAGAGAGGGTACAAATGTTTGACCGAAGATTGGGGTATGGGATATTACGAGAGTTTTTTAGAATCGGGTGAATACCCAAATTAGAGAGTCGGCAAGCGATATGACCTTCCGAATTGCGAATACAAGAAGAAGAAAAGAAGGAAATGAAAGAAGAAGAAGAAGAATTGGAACAGGAGCAAAGAAGATTGTCGTTCCTTGCCAGCTTCCGGAAATTATGAATATGATCCGCAACCGATTTATTCTTGGGACACACAATTTTAAGTCGCCTACTTATAATATCTTACAACGGTTTCCTGATAGCTGACCTACGTACCACTTGAACACATAGCTTCCTCAATTTCGTTTTCGATAGACAAGCATCAAACGGAGCTCTAATTATTGGCTTAATTCTGATTTTTAACTTATACTTAGCTTGGAACCCCCTGGCGATAATCCCTCGTAACATTGTCCTACTATCTTTCCGTGTAACCGGCTGAACGCGCTAAACGCGCGTTCAATCGCGTTCAAACACACTGCGCGCCGCGTGGCGTGAAAAAATAGAACGCGACCCCGGGGGGCGCGCGCGCGCGTTACGGACTACGGGGTGGTGGGCCTCGTTCAAGGAACCCCGTACATGCAAAAAAAAAAAAAAAACTGTGGCC